CTGAACCAAATACAGGTCAGGGTAGAGCATCACCCTGCGCCAGCTGGGATAATGTAGGATGGACTACCCAATTTCAGGGTTTGAAAGTAAACACGGGGTGGGTAATTCCAACCTGGAGACTCTGAAAGAATAAATTACATCTGTCCAAGGGCTGCCCACCAAGTGACTGCCAGAATTTACAATGCAGTTCTGTACTCATCACCATTGACAATCCAGCTGTTCTAAACCAAAAACCAAAAGTAGCATCTCAGTTACATGGGTTGGGGCAAACACCACCAGGAAAAATCCACTAGGGTAATTTGTTCTCCAACAAATAGAAAAACTCAACTCCCCATTTGCCTGGCTGTACTCCAAAACCCTAACAAACTCTTTAGTTCACCAAATGACACTAAAGGGTAAAAATAACTAAGGTAAAGGATTTAATGCAAACCTTAGAAAGTGGGACAGGGTACAGGAATATGAATGCCTGGGTCAAACGGGTCAAATTTTTGGTACAAGCTCTGAACAGGAGTAACTGCTATGCACGTGCTGTGGAACAACTTCAGGCACAGGTGGTTCTGTTTCCTCTAGGATAGAATACCAATCCTAAAGGAACGCATTGCATGTTAGCTTTATACCAGGATAAGGAAGCATGGGGAAATGAGACTTATAAAAATATGTCATTGACCGGTAACATGGCTCACACCTTTAATCCCAGAACTTTGGGAGGCTGAGGTGGGTGGATTACCTGAGGTCAGGAGTTGGAGGCCAGCCTGGCCAACATTGTGAAACCCCATCTCTACTAAAAATGCAAATAAATCGCCACGAATGCTGGTGCATGCCTGTAATCGCAGCTACTCGGGAGGCTGAGGCAGGAAAATCGCTTGAACTAGGAGGCAGAGGTCACAGTGATCTGAGCTTGTGCCATTGCACTCCAGCCTGGGCAACAAGATCAAAACTCCATCTGGGGAGGGGGTGGGGATGGGAATCTGTCCTTGCTCTTTCCCCACACTGCAGAGGTCAGATCCCAGAGCAATTCCTTCGTTCTCCACAGGGCATATGAAACTACTCCTCTTGCCTCTCTAGGCAGGGGGCAAAGTTCATAAGCTCATGGGAGAACTCTCAACTTGTACCCACATCCTAAACATCAGGGGTGAGTCAGGCAATGGCAATTACTCAGCTCTCCATATACCCCAGGCAAATGTCTGGTGGTATTGTGGGAAAAGGAACCTCTGTAACCTGTTACCATCCAACTGGATCAGGACTCATGCTTTAGTCTAGTTGCCTTCACTCTGGCATTTCATAAAATACCCGAAAATACACATCATTACCAAAACTGGAGATATTTAATACATTCTTTTAATCCCAATATATATGTTAATTCAATAGGAGCCCCTAGTGGGGTGCCTAATAGATTTAAGGCCCAAAACCACATAGCTGCTGGGTTCACGTTAGCACTCTTCTGGTGGTCAACTATTCATAAAAATATGAATTAAATTAACTACATCTATCATATTCAACGAAATTTCTCAATTATACTCAGGACACCCTCAAAGGGGTAGCTAGCCAGTTAAATGCCATCAGCCAAATAGCCTTAGAAAACAGGCTTGCACTAGACATAATACTAGCAGAAGAAGGGGTGTATGAGTCATGCTGGGTGGGAAATGTTATACTTTCATTCCCAAGAATACTGCCCCAGATAGGACCATCAGAAAAGCTTTACAAGAACAACCCTAGCCAGTAAACTAGCAAAAAAAGCTGAAATTAATGACCCATTAATAGGTTGGCCAGAAGGTTGGTTTAAATGATGAAAAGGCATGGTAACTCCAATCCTTACATCTCTCATAATTGTGGCAGGAGTCTTAACAGCAGTGGGATGTCATATTACTCCCGTGTAAGGCGACCAGCACAAAGATTAATTAAAACCGCTATTAATAAACAAATGCACATAACTTACTAGCAAAATAACCTGCTACTATTAGAAACCAAATTACATTCACTCTGCTATAAGGAAAAAAAGTAAACAACTTTCCCAGAGTGATTCAAGAACCAAAAGAGTTTAGATAAAAATAAAACCAAAGACAGAAAATAGAAAAGAGGAGGGAATTTGTGAGAAAACATTTTAAATGGTCCATTTTCAAGGCATGATAAATCTAGGTACTGGCAGCCAGCCTGCAGATACGAAAAACTTCACAGCTCATGTGCCTAGAAAGTCATGATAAGCAAACAGAATGTAAAGGAGGGGTCCGCTCGTAAAAGAGAAGAAAGTTTTGTTATTGGGAAATTGAAACTTAAGCGAGGAAGAGGACCAGGGTATAACCTTATAAGGGGCATAATGAAACTTAGGCAATGTCCAGGAAGATTATAACCCATAGTACTCAACTGAGCAGGAACTGGGAGAGGGGTCTGCGTGCTAGGAGGTAAATTGCCTGCTGTAACTGCCCTGGGTGTGCCTGCCTACCAAACACCTGATCTTGTAAGACCGCCATTAAAAGCCTTGGTTCTGCTGTTCTGCGTGTCTCCGAGTCCGTTCTTTGGTTTTGGAAGGGTAAATGTGTTTCTTACATTATTCCATGACAAAGCCAACTTCTTTTAAAAAGTTAATGTTTGTGTCATGAGCTGTAGATAAAACACTATGAAATTCTGAGACCTATGCTCTGGAAAGCAATTAGTAACACAAACAGCTAAAGTATCTCTAGAAATATTATTTAAAACAGACCTGGGATATGCTTATTAGTTACAATAAATTTTATCAAATATGTACAAAATGAGGCAATTAATTTGAGGTTCTGTCTTATTGTAGTTGTAAATTTTCTAGTTTTTGCATTTGTAAGAAAAATAACAAACTTTGTGAATCAAAGGCTCACCAAGGACATATACAACTATAAAGCAAATGTGCTTTCGCTGTGGATCTCTTTACTTACCTTCTGTTTCTTTTTTGTAAACTGTAGAGTTTCTCTTTACCATAGTTCTTAAACCAGTCAATACAATTATTGAAAAAATACTTTCAAAATACGGGAGCCTGGGCCCCTCCAGACTTTTTTTTTTTTTTTTTGAGACGGAGTTTCGCTCTTGTTGCCCAGGCTGGAGTGCAATGGCACGATCTCAGCTCACCGCAACCTCCGCCTCCTGGGTTCAGGCAATTCTCCTGCCTCAGCCTCCGGAGTAGCTGGGATTACAGGCACGCGCCACCACGCCCAGCTAATTTTTTTGTATTTTTAGTAGAGACGCGGTTTCACCATGTTGACCATGATGGTCTCCATCTCTTGACCTTGTTATCCACCCGCCTCGGCCTCCCAAAGTGCTGGGATTACAGGCTTGAGCCACCGCGCCCGGCCTCCCTCCAGACTTTTTAAATTGGAATTTCCAAGGATGGGGCCCAGACACTGACTGAGAATAGCCAAATGAAATTTCCTCTATGTCTTAGCAAGCATTCATAATTGTTTTTTATTGAAATGTGGGCCAACGTGATACATAACCACATGACATTTTAAACACCTTTGCTAAGTATAATTATGTAATACAATCTGGTTACAACAAGTCACCTATGGAATCATCACGATGTTGAGGGGCAGGCATACCTCTCTCAGAATGGTATGCAGATATTGGTACTGGGATAAAGAAAGAGTAAAGAAATTTGGAAAACGCTTGCATCTTCTGTTGCCAGACACAGATAGTAGAGCAAGAATTTCATAGTGTAGAACTGTCCCTCCAAGTTCTAGCTGACAGCTGTCTAGATTCACATAATGACTAAAGTCATCAGATACAGTTCAATTAAAATCTGAGCACCTGCTGCATACCAAAAACTGTTCGTGGTACAGAAGTTAAAAGACTTCCTAGCACCTCCCTAAAATCAGCTAAAGCCAACTAAATTCAACAGGAGAGGATGGAAACCACATAGGGTACAGAAATTAGGGGTGAGAGACTTCAGTTAGTCCAGAAAGAAAATACCTCCCTTCAAAAAGACACAAGAAGAGACTCAGAAAGTGGAAGAGGTGTCATCATGAGAGACTGGTAAATAATTAGTAATAAATATGTCAGCAATTTTTCCTACCTTAAATATTGGCCTTGGCAGGACCACACTGATTACAGAGGTCTGATTCAGAAATTGACCTGGTAGACAGATATCTAATCCAGCCGTTCCCAAAGCTCACTGTACGTTAGAATCACCTGGGGATCTTAAACAACTGCTGACACCTGGTTCCCATTCAGGACGTTCTAAATTAATTGGTATGAGGTGTGACCCGGGCACTGGCATGTTAAAAGTTCCCCCAGGTGATTCTAATGTTCAGCAAACTTTGGGAACCGCTGCTGTAGTTCCACGGAAACTACCGGTTTGCAGTTGTTCTTCAAAGTTGGTCCACGAACCAAGAGCATCATTATCAGGTTGGAAATGCAGAACCTCGGGCTCCACTCTAGACTGAATGAACCAGCCTGTCTTGCACAAAATCCCCAGGCAGTTCTTATTCACATTAAAGTGTCAGTAACATTGGTTGCAGAGTGTTTCTCTAAGAGGGGAAAAAGAAATTTTAAGAGCTATTTCTAACGCTTTCATCACCTTTTCCCATTACGTGCCATGAGTGAAACTTAGTCTTTAACTGTTAGTTTCTAATAAGTATAAAAAAGAACTGATAATACCCATTTTCAAAGTGTAAATTTGTCTCGTCTCTGAATGTGAAGTTTAAAACCTACTGCTAAGGTGCAAGAGCCCATTCAAGTTGCTTTTTATTTGCTTCTAGTATCTTGGAAGGAAGGGAGAGAAGGAGCCCTGCAATTACCACCTGTTGAATATTACATTCGTAAGTACCACCTCCTTTCAGAACAGTCTAGATGTTATGACTCCATCCACCTGGCTAGAGACTACTGACTTCTACAAGTTTTTTTTTTTTTTTTTTTTTTTAACCCTGTCCCGTTTCCTTCCCCTCCTCTTTTTTTTTCTTTTAAATTATCAGAGTTGTCCTAAATAATTCCAAATGTCATGGAGATGACGAAAGCTTTAAATATTAAAGACAGACCAGTACCTCATCAAGGAAAGCAGATACATGTCCAAGACACATCGCAGGTAACTCTCCAAATAAAACCATTCGAGAAAAGTCATTTACTCCAATGCTTTCAGTAATCTTCTTAGAAATAAAAACAAGTTTATGGTTTGCATCTCTTGGAATCTGAAACAAGAGCAAGATAATTAAAGTTCACTTTGTAGTTTTCCTGTTAACAAGCAGGATTTACTATATCAACTTATAGCTGGATTGCTCGCAGAGGAAACAAAACTTGGCATCTTGCTTGTCCTATAAACAAGGTCCTTCTACATGGCAAGTTTTATGCGCTCTGCCAAACACCACATTTTTTTTTAAAGGATGTGGCTCTAGAGTGGTCCAAGAGCAACTGAAACCAAGTTTTTTTGGCAGAGAAAGCCCACCTTGCGTCTAACACCCAAGCAGCGAAAGAAAGCGCTGGTTTTCTTGCATTATCCTAGTCGAACAGGCTCAACGGGGGATTCTCGGTCAGATACAAAAAAGCTCTGACCTTCTAGAAAACTAACCAGCAGCGGCTGAACTGCAGAGTGGGTGCACGTGGGGCGAAGTCCTACAAGCCTCAGGATGGGGACCTTCAAGCCAAGTTTGAAGTGCCCGAGTGAGCGCCCAGCGGGAATCCAAAGGGGTGAGACTGGGCTGTCTCCCCTGGGTATCCGTTTTGCTGACGGGGCGGGGGGCGGGAGCAGGTCCCCTGGCCTGTCGTCTCTTACCTCCTGGGAAGCCACAAGGCGCCCCGCGGCGGCGACGGTAAACACAAGGCAAGTCGGGCTGGTGCTTTCCAGAAACTCCTCAAGAACCTGCCGGTTGTCCTCGCTCTCCAAATACTGGCTCCATTTCTCCTCGGTGAACCCCAGTATCATCTCCAGGCGGCCGCCGAGGAAGCGCACCCGAGCGTCTTGGGCGAAACTCTGCGCTCTCCGGGCCGCCGCCTCCTCCTCGTTCTCCTCCTCCTCCTCGAGCTCCACAGCGCCCACTGCCTCCAGGGCGACCCCCGAGGTTAGGCGAAGGGTCGGGGCTTCCCGAAAGTCTCTCGCCTCCCGGCCTGCCACCGAGGCTGCCATCGGGCAACCGTCCGAGGGGACGCGGGGCCGACTGGGTCCTCACCCGAGGCTCTGGGGCAGCCCGGAGTGAGTGAGGACACCTGCGGAGGCGCCCAGCCTCCCCCGCGATCGCCGCAAGCTTAGACCCTCGTTTCCCACCTGCTGCTACTTAGCAGCGGCGGCTACTGCGCATAGTGGTAGCCTGCCGGTCCGAGGCGGTGGCCTGGGTCGAGCAGCGCGTCCCGTTTCCCGGGGGACGGTGTCCCCGCCCCAGCACGCTGGGGGCGGAGTGAGTGCTCCGCGCCACCTCCCAGTTGAAGGCAAGGCCAACGCCAGGCCGAGGGGAGCGGCCCTCGGGCTCTAGGTCCCGAACCGGCTGAGAAGGCTCCTCTACCGGGTCGGTAGGAGCCCCCAGTGCGCTTGCTCCACTGCACTGCGGCTCCATCACCTACTAGACACTTGGTGGGGCTCCCAGCATTAGTCAAGTGCTCTGGATGAAGCAGTGCTCTCTTGCGCCCAGCTCCGTGCTAAATCCCTTACCTAGACTAGTTCACATAATCCGTGGAAAGCCATGTTTCTGTCTAGCCAGTCTTTGTTTTACGGGCAAGAGACTAACTTACAAAAATAGTTAAGTAGCAGAGAAGTTTCGGGGCCCAAGTTGAGGGCTATTATTCATCTTTCCTGCGGTGTCCAACTATTACCAGAAAAAAGCCAATCCTGCAATTTAACTTTCCTAGTCATGGGAATCCAGGATCTAAGTACTGAAGGTCCTCCTGATTCCCGTCTTCAACCTGACACTTACTGGCATGTTAATACACCCAGTAAGAGAAGCACATTGCCCTTTTGTGAACTCCAAAATGTTCCGAAAATCTATAGAATTATCATTTAATTCAAGAGTGAAAAGATCAAAGAGGAAAAGCGTCAGATTAAAAACAGTTTCATCATACTGAAATGGGATTCCACTGTGGTGCCTTAGTGGCTTTTGAGACTAGTATGGAAATTTTGAATTTTGAGGAGGAGTCCTCGAACTAAACTTTTAAATCTCCTTTGTTAATTGTTTATTTCAAACTAAAGACTTCAACCCCCACCCCTTCCCTGGTGGGTATTGAAGGATTGTTACCCACAATAATCATTTAATACCTGAATGTTGATAAACAGGTATTTCCAGAAGATGAGGCTTCAACAATTTTTTTCTTTTCAGGATATTAACTGCCCCTGAAAATCATCTACAAGGTTCCAGTTACATAATCAGAATCTTGAAATAACACAGGCCCTTGGAAAACCTTGAAAATGACTTCTAAGTTGTCAAGCCTGCTTTATATGGTCCATGATGTTCTTTGGGACTCCCATTTGCTAGTATACAAGGCTAGCAATCACCAGTTCCTAGTCTCTCCTCTCTTATATTCCAGCTTCACATCCCTGTACCCTAGAAGACCAGGAATTCTGTAAATAATAGTTGAATTAAATTGACAGTAAATAACTACTTACAAATCTAGCAGAATTTTTTAAAAATAATGCTAATTTTAAAGTACAATTTTCAAAAAGTTAAAAATGTAACTCAAAATATAGGATGAAGACATGTCAAAGATTTATTTATTTAACTCATTAATGAGGGAAACAACAAAATGATGTAAATTCCAAGTACAGTTAGAGAAAGAAATTTAGCAGCATGGAAGAAAGGGGAGTCAGATTGCTAGGTTCGATAGAATACTCAGGAATGTCATACAAGGCACACTAATCCTTTGCTTTTAAAAAATAATTTTTCAGAAATAAATTACATCTGTAATGAACAAAAATCTGGAAATAAGAACATAATTTCACAGAGTTGATCAATAGTAATGAGTCCAAAAAATTATTTACTTTTCCCTAAATAATAATTCTTTCATTGGCCACTGAAGCAACGTTTTAATGTGACAGTGAATAAACATGCTTTTACCTTGTTCCCAAGTGTTAGTTTTCTCGATAATTATAGCTAACATTGATCAAGTACCAACTATGTGCCATGTACTGTGCTGAGTTCATTCATTTGTCTAACAAATCTTTATTGAATGCCTACTAAGTGCCAAGCACTGTTCTAACCCTCATATTTGTGATTCAGGCTAGATTTATACTGGCTACAGTGGAACTATACCAACTGAATTTGCATTTCATTTCAATTTTCTAGGTACCTGAGTTTTCTCATCTAAAATCTTAAAAAATAAAATGGTAGCTGAGACTATATTTTAGCAAATATCCCTTCCCTGACCCCACCTTCATGAAAAGTATGCTTACACCTTTTTGTGCTATTCACGTTGTGGTTGGCCATGTGACTTGCTTTGGTCCATAGGATATTGGCAGACATAACAAACAGAGGCAACACTTCTCAGCCTTTCAGCTAAGATCAGGTGTAGTAACAAACAGAGGCTTAGAATGTCTTTGCATGGTGAGGCTTGCCTTCTTGTGCCTCTGCCACTGTCTTGAGAACATCCCTGGTTAGCTTACTATGCAAGGAACAAGCCTGGACCCGACTTGTAGCTCAGAGGCAAGTCCAGTGAGGCCTAGTCTTGATCAATCTACCCTCAGTCAGCCCACAGATGCATGATAATAATGAATGATTATTGTTTTGAGCTACATAGTTGTGGTGAGGTTTGTTATGTAGTGACAATATTGAGGGATTTCTCTTCCCAGGTCTGCGAGGGGTGTGGTTTAAAAAGCAGGAGTTTCTTGGCTCCACGCCTCCATCCAGGAACCAGAGGAGTTCCAAATGTAAAGTTCTTTGTCTGGGTTTCCCACTTGAGGGCTAGGTAGAGAAAGCCAGGTGAAGCTCCTTTGTCCCAAAAAATCCACGAAAGTTCTGGGAGGAGGGAGCTCTGTAACTTAGAGTTGTGGACCAAGCAGCCAATCTGGTATCAGAGTCAAAAGATCAATCACTCCAGAGGAGTTTTGAAAGAACTCCTCTCATTGGACAAGAACATGAATGGGGAGGGAATAACTCAAGGGTTAAAACTCCAGCTGCTCCTACCTATACAGATCCCTTCTCCCGGTCCCCTCCCGTGACAGGGTGGAAGCTGTTTTTCTTTCCCTCTCTCTGTCTAATAAATTGCTTTTCTGCAAACTCTTTGGGTCCACAATATTTATTTTAATGGCAAACTCACCATGCGTCTGGGGCCCCTTTCCCCATTCTTCGGGGTTAAGAGGCTAAGAACCTCTTTGGAATGGGAAGCTGAGTTCACTCCCCTGTCACATCTTTTGGCAAGCCAGTCAGGAGAATGTTGGACTTCAGAGTGATGAGTGACATTGGATCCCTTTCACTTGCTAATCTGTATTTCCCTTCTTTTAAATTTGTTTAGGAGGTAAAAAGCGGGTACCCATCAGTCATCTAAGTGTGAATAGCATGGCTGCTGGTCTACAGACCGGGGTGTCAGGCTTTCTAAGAATGGACTCTCCAACAACCCCCAGCTCTTTGGAACTGGGAGTGTTGGCTAGCCCCGAACCAGCTTCCCTTTCTTGCTGTTCTTTCTTTCTCTGGGCCAAGCCAATGGCTGGCTGAAGGAAAGTGGTCCCAAACTCCAAGTTCAGTCCCATTGAGGTTGGGGCCCCACTTAGACCTCCTAAGAAAGAGCCACGCCCAGCCTTTCATACCCCAATCTCTTGTGTCCCTGGCTCTTTTCTCTATGATATTTCCTACACATGAAGCTATTACCCTTCTTGCTAGGACTTTAAGGCTCTTGGGGTGGCAGTCCAGGGACCCTAGCCCATGGTGCCCTCAGGCTTATGCCTATGGGGACATCCTACATTATAAATACACAGAGCTAGTTCCCTTAGTCCACAGTGCTAGGCTACGTCCTAATGAAGCCAGAGTCTTTCAATGGGTACTGGAGGCTATAGGACATTTTGTTTTTTTTTTTTTTGTCACCTGAAATTTCCCAATCCAACTGAGTGGTGCTAGAATCCAATGATGTACAATTTGTCTTGTCTAGGATTGGCTCTCCATACAGCAGAACTTCTCCATCTAGAATGCCATAGTCAGACCTGGTCAGAGGCTCAAATAGTTAATTACAGGCCCCACAATCCTGGGGCATATTCCTATAATGAAGAATAGGGTCGGGGAGAAGGCTGGGTCCTGAGGACATTGTTCTGGCCTTGGCCATGCAGCCAGTCATTACCTTCTTTAAGATTGTTGTGCTTAGAGGCCCCTCCCAAGGCATTTATCCTCCTAGGGCAGCTTTATGGTCAGGCCTATGTTAATTTTAATTGAACTCTTGCTAGAGAATATTGGCCCATCACCCAAGCCTCACTGGCCTAGTTCTTCAAGGATGCACTGGTACAGGACCACTAATCCCGTCAGTCCCCAGGTCCTTAAGGTGGCCATAAGGATATTGGACAGCATGCGCCTATGACGCTGGTAAGCATGATTAAACCTGGCACATGGGGAGTGCAGAAGATGATTACGCATCTAGGGTACAAGGAAATTCCCTGCATCCCTGTGTTCAATTTCAGATGGGTGCTACTCTTCCCAAGGCAAAATCACCCTTAAAGTGTATCCTGGATAACTGGGACCAATTTGACCCATGATCTTTGAAAAAGAAGGGGCTCATTTTTCTCTGCCAAACAGCATGGCCATGATACTCTCTGCCAAGTGGAGAAGCCTGGCCTCCTAAGGGAAGCATAAATAACACCCTTCTACAATTAGACGTGTTCTGTAAGAGGGAAGGTGAATGAATTGAAGTTCCCTATGTGCAAGTTTTCTTTTCTCTATGGGATAATCCTTAGCTATGTAAGGCCTGTAACCTACACCCCACTGGCCCCTCCTCAGGACTATGCCCATATTGAGGACTCCCTGTGGCTCCTCCCTTCACTGATACTGACCAGGTGTCCTCAACTCCGATAACCCAAGAGGACTCAGGGAAGGCCAAAGTGGCTAAGGCACCTCAGGATACTAGGATGCCCCAACTCTGCCCCTACAAGCAGTAGGAGGAGAATTTGGCCCAACCAAAGTACATACCCCCTTTTCATATTCTGATTTAAGCAAATCAAGGTAGACTTGGGAAAATTTTCAGATGACCCAGATAACTACATAGATGTTCTGCAGGGTCCGGGTCAGTCCTTTGAATTGGATTGGAAAGAGATCATGTTATTGCTTAGTCAGACCCTAACCAGCAATGAGAGAGAGGCTGCTCTAGCAGCAGCTCAAGAGTTTGGGAACACCTGGTACCTTGGTTAAGTACATGACCAAATGATGCCAGAGCAGCAGGGTAGATTCCCTGCAGGTAGACAGGCAGTCCCTAGCATGGATCCTCACTGAAATCCTGACTCAGCACAGGGGGAC